TTGTATTGTAAGACCCGGTAATGTTTAACTCTGCTTAACGCAAAATAGGCTTGACCAGCTTGGAATATTTTATGAAGTGATATTACGCCTCTATCGAGACTTAGACCTTGTACTTTGTGAATAGTAACTACATAGGCGAGACGTAAAGGGAACTGGCGTCTAACATCGCCCTTATAGTTAACATGAGGGCTTTCATATCTCTCAATACCAATACTACCACGTGGTACATTTGGCGGAAGTGGAACACTGTCTTCATTTATTTCAACTTTAGCATTATCAAATTTTACAAAAATTTTGTCAGTTTGATTATTCTGATCAGTTTGAATGAATGTTACTTGACCAAAACTTCCATTTATCAAGCCAGTAGAAACATTCAAATTAATTACTAACATAACTTTTGACCCTACACCTATTTTTAAGCAAGACACTAATGGTGTATCAGTCACTTCAGTCAGTGGTTTTAAGCGTCATTTTAATGGTTCTGACATCTTTTGAATAATCTAGAGCACTGATGGACACAGAATTTGGGCATTTTTCATCAATCATTCTAGAATTATAATCATCAACTTGCTGATTAATAGAAAATATATGCAGACAATCATCTCCGTTACCAATTACCCTACTCTGTAACATTTTAACGTCTGAAGCAAGCATTGGTTCACTTTTTTTTCTTTGTCTAATTCTATCCAATGTTTGGGCAAAGGCTAAATCATCTTTTTGTCTCATAATTCCAGTAAGTTCAACAAGTTTGAATTAACCGTTCCATAGGTCTATGACACTTTCATGACATAAACTATTACCTTTAACTGGTCTTAGTTGCCTCATATCTCCAAAACATATGACACAGATATTTCCAAATAACTCATCGGTACCCTTTATTTGCCCTAATCGCCCATGAATGTAACAAAAAAGCTTATGATCTACCATTGAAATTTCATCTATAATTAATATTTGTAAGTTGCGATATTTACATCTTAATGTATTAATAGTTTCTTGTCCCAATGGTTGATAAGGTGGAAATGAGAACCCCTTTCTTATTGAAAAACTTCTGTGAATAGTTGACGCTTCAATATTAAAAGCACTCACCCCAGTTGGTGCGGTAAAGAGAACAGTGATGTCATCTAAACTTTCCTCAGTTTTCGCAAAAATTCGAGACGCTTCGTATTGAATACATTTGATAAGATGAGATTTACCGGTACCAGCTGAACCAGTAACAAAGATCCTAAATGGATCGCGGTTTATACCATTAACTTTGTCCAGACAATACTTGCGAACGTCATAAAAAACCTGAGACTGTATTTCAAAGGGGAAATTTTGCAAAAAATTTAAAAAAAAAACTGTGAATTATTATAGAGTTGAAAGATAGTGTAATTAGATTAATTTATTTATGACCTATAATAATCTTAGCAGAAGATAAAATTGCCACTTTATTGCTAAGGATTAACGCAGTCGGAAGCCAGTTGAATTGGTGCCTGCTAGGCGATTAAGTGCTGTGGGTTAGAATCCCGCTCTGTATTCTGATTCCACGGTCAGTGTTTGCTAGAGACAGCCCGATGTTTGCTTTTATTCCCTCAGCCTAACTAACACCAATAACCAAACTGTTGTGTGTATCTTGCAGATAGAGTTCTATTAATGGTACAGAAAAAATTCGAACAGGTTAATGTATCAAAAATTCACTACTCTATATGAGTATATGTTAAATTATTGTAAGTGAAAATTAAAAAAAAAAGTTATTTTTTAAGTGTTAAAAAAATACATAATCAGATTAATCTGTTTATGACCCAAACTACTTCACACTTGCATGTCAAAAGTTCATATGATAGCTTTCCTATCATATTATAAAACCTGTTATAACACCTGTCAATCATTTTAATCCCCACAATCTGCAGATTGTTATCAGATTTTTTATAAACATTTAACACTTTTATGCCTATTTTCACAAATTCAATTTTGTATTAAACCACCCATGTCACATATCGTTGAAAAGAGAAAATTGACTAGATCCTGAATATACAAACCATATTGCTAGGAATTAATTACATTGTAAGTTAGAATATATCATTGAAAAGATAATCAAAAGGGAATTACAAAATTGAAAAAAATAATTTTCTGTATTTATTAGGAAAGGTCATACAGCCGTCCAAAGTTGTCAAAAATGTTAATTTTTGAATGGCTATTAAACCGGAAGTTAATATTTTTCAACCAATATGAGTACAACTGTGGATAGCTGAGGTCAAGAACATCCTACAGTGAAATTTTCATGGTCATCAAAGTTCAAGGTCATATGGTGTGGCCTTTTGAATTTTTAAAAAATTCAAACGAATATAAAAAAACATTCAAATTCGAAATTCAAAATTCTGTTCCAACAAACTGTAGACAAGGTTCAAGGTTTTAATAGACACCAAAATCATAAAAAGCGGATAAAAAATGGAGGACTAATTAATTTTTTGCCAAAATGGGTCAGTCCGAGGCGACGACTTATGCATTACTTCCGGTTTGGATTTTTTCTGCTAAGTGCATTCTAATTATGACTGACAGACAATATATATGGTTTTTGCCAACATCTGAAATTTACACCGGAAGTGACGTGATTTAAAAAAAACGGAAGTTCTCACGCAAAAACCGGAAGTGATAGAAAAATTTTGATTGTATGAATTTATTTGTATGGACATTCTGTATATGTCCTGTGAATTTCAAATCAATCGGATAATTAGCGACTGAGTTAGAAATTTTGAGCTTTTTTGAAAATTTTGGATTCAAATTTTTTTGACAAAAATATTTAAAATTTTGAATTTAGCCTCACCTCATTTCAGGTAAATCGGTTCATAAATAAGCCCTACAGACTTGATGCAATATATTTGCACATTATGCAATGGCACACTTCCGGTTTAGCAAAAATTGAGTTTTAGATATTCATTTTTGATTCCAGGTCATTTAAAAATGTTTGGTGAAGACAATTATGCTATACCATTTTCGATTTTGTCTAGGGACGTTCCCAAAAAAAAAAAAAATAAAAAAAAAAAAAATAATCACAACGAAAACAAAGCATGATAGCTGTTATTGACTAGAACATAACTAACATAAATAAATAACTTTGTGTTAAATCAATGTCTTAATATTTCAGCTTCAGATGATGTTTGTGTTATCAACTATAGCAATATATGTGAATGCTTCAGTCCTGCTGAAACAACCCATTCGATAGAATGCTGCGAAGACTATATTATACGATTGGAATGGACTGGTGCGACAATACTCTACGAGCAAATTAATGACACATCATGTACTCCATCAAAGGGGAACTCTTCTTGTTTAGTCAATGAAGAAAATAATTTTAAAGTAAATTATGAAGATAAATTAAACATCTATAACAGTTGTAGTGGAAAGAAACGATGTAATGTAAGCGTAAATCCATCAAGTGATATAATGATACATATTCCGGTGATTTGTGTACAAGGTAGGCTGAACCTCTCACACGACCGTTTAAAAGTTCTGATTGTTTGTTGAATTTCCTTTTTCAATAGCGTTTTTTGAATTAGTGACTCAAGCTAATATGATTCTCATGCTTGTTTGAAACACAAAAGGTCAATGAATATCAAATTTATTGTTTTAAATAACCAGAGGTCAAGATGCAATTTAAATCAAGTAATTGGGGATAAACCACTAATTAGTTTGACTGACACAATGATGGTGGAAATGTTTGAGTCTGGGATATGAGCACCCTTTCGACACACATAATACTACTCTCCGACAAGGTCTGTAATTTTATTTATAACAAAATGTTTGTTTGTATTTTTATTTTAGCAACTAGAATCAACAATTTCATAGGGAATTCTCCTAAAAATTTTATAAATGGATTTCCAATATTTTACATAGCTGGTAACGATTACATTGGGAAAGAGATTACCTACAGTTGTACTGTCAAAGTTAAAGTTTTATATTTAGAGGTTTTCTACATACACCTTGGTCCTAGATCCTGTGAAAAAGTAAAGATGTATGCGAAAGGATTCCCAAAATTTGAATTGATCTGTACGGACTCCGGAATGACAATGTTTTATAAAGATATTGGACGTATCGGTACAGAGTTTAGTTTAGAAATAAAGGATCTGAAATTGGAAAAGAATGAAGTTATATATTTTATACTACTTGATGGTAAGATCTGTATTTATATAGACGGGTTTTAAATCCCAACCGCTCTTTCAAATCCCTACAGCCAATAAAAATGCACAAATATGAATATTGTCGAATTTATTGCTTTTTACGTGTTATTGTGTGCTCCATTTGATTTATGGCAGTGAAAATGGATTATTATTATTTTGAGCATGATTTGAATCAGAAAATGTGATGAAAAATATCTTAGAAGAAGCAAAGAAATATTCATTTGTTTCGTTTCATTTTTGAAATAATTTTGATTCCAAAATATTGGCGTCAACAAAATTCCGCCAAATTGACTATTTTCGTTTCGTAGTATGAAAATCAACGATCCTCAAATTCAACAATGACTTATTAAGCGCATTTTTTTCACTTCTGGTATGGCTGGTAGGTCGATTTGGATTTAAAACCCACCCCATTTATATATTACCAGAGAGATATGAGACAAAAAGATCATTCTCAATCTACAGAATCTGGTGTTACCAATATTGTTCGGAAAAACAAAATGTTTATTTGAGAAACCCTCACTCGAAATATCGACCTTTGTTTTTCAGCCAACGGGTCGAACATAAATGTACATTGTCATGGTTACCAGAAAAATACAACAGGTAAATTATTCACTTTTATATTTTCAACCAAATTTAAGAATTTTTAAAAATAAATTTTGCTCTAAAACTAATATAAAGTTGGCTTGTAAGTGGTAAATCTCAGTTTAAAAAGAAATAGATAAACAAGAAATGAATACCTAGGGATACTTCCCCAAGAGTGGAATTGAAAGACAATGGGGAGGAATATTCTGACTTAGCTGGAAACGTGATCTACGACTGAAATTGACGTCATTCACCTCGAACACCATGTTGCATAAAAGCTTGCAAGTTAATTTCGCGCATGCGTGCCAAACATAAATCGTACATTGACGTTAGTTGTCGTTCCAAATAGTATACAGTT